TAAAAGAATCTCCCCTTTAAGTTAGGTGAGTCAGGAAAGCTGGCAGGTGCCAAGAATAAACTGAAGAACAGCCCTTGGTACCCCTGGCACCACTTTGCTGATCCCAGCGCTACTCTGAGACATCAGACTTGGTCTCTGAGTTATTCTGTTAAGGTTTCCAAAATCAACTTGAATTACACCTGGAATGGGGATGGAAGAGAAATTCTTGGTTCACCATTTTAATTTCCTTTTTATTTTCAGGTCAGTATGGGAATTTATAGCAATCTGAGTTTTGCGACAGAGTCCTTTTCTAAGATAACCACAAGATAAAGTATAATTGGGGAAAATGAGCACAACTGGTACACAGGTTAATGAAAGTAAGGTAGAAAAACACTGGGAAAAGTGCCCACTTGTGAAAAGGCTGTATAAAAAAACTGAGCATGTTAGGAGACATGCGTACAAATATATGTACAAGTCTACCTGCAAACATTTTTTTAAATTCTCAAACTGATGCAGAATGAAATTTAAGATTGCAAAAATGAAAAGTGAAAAGAAGCTGAAATCTGACAGCCCTCCAACTTGGAGCTTGGCTGTTTCTTCTTCTTTTTTGGCCTAATTTCCCTTGCAAAGAAACTTGATCCCATTTCGAAAACCAGAATTACTAGCTCCTCACTGCTGTGGTCCTGAAATGCTCCCCAGAGGGAACTTATCTGGGTTTGGTTTCCTTTGGAAGGAGAGCTCCCAGAAAACTGTAGGGTGTTTTGTTTATTTTGTATATTTGGAGTTTATTTACAAATACACCGTTTGAACATAAACAGAGAGAAACAACATAGCACAGATCTAAATTACATAATCTGAGCTGGAGGGGGAAAGTGCCATGAAATCGTATTATTGAAAGGGACTTTCAAAAAACAATGTCTAGCTCTTAGTGCAGGAAACATACTGCTATAGTCTAGAAGGAAAATCTATTCTATACCTTTTGAGGTATCCCAGTTTTGAACAGCTGGTTTCATAAGGTCCCTAAAAATTAGTCTGATATTGTTGTTGAAATTCACACTCACTGATTCAGTTTCCGCCCTCTCCACAGGAGCAACAGAAAACAAATCCATTCCATCATCTAGATCAGTGTTTCTCAACCTCAGCAACTTTAGGATGGATGGACTTCAACTCCAAGAATTCCCCATGCTGGCTGGGGAATTCTGGGAGTTGAAGTCCACCTATCTGATCTAGATCAACACTGATCTACAGCCTTCTTATTTATGATGATGAGTATCGTATTGGACCATCCCTGTTTCTTCTTCAGCCTAAGCATATCCCCATGTTCAACCTTGACTCACAGGACTTAATCTCCATCTCCTTCCCCATCACTGCCACCCTCCTCTGGATAGAGCCAGATTGTCAAACTGTTTCTTAAACAAGGTACCCAGAATTGTCCTCAAGGTGAGATCTGACTAGTGCAGAATAGAATGGAAACATTGCTCTTCAAAATTCTCATGTGCTTCAGTCAGGGCAGTCCTGCAGGGATTGTAGTTTTTAGCAGCTTCATCGTATGGCTGCCTCGTGTTTTGCACAGGGTCCACAAAAACCCTTGGCTCCTTTTCATAGCTGCTGCTAGAAGGCATGTGTCACCTATCCTGCATTTGTGGTAAATAATTCTTCCTAATGCAAAGTCTTACATTCATCATAAAAGTTTGGGGTAGTGATCAAAGGCACTGGGCTAGACACCAAGAGGCTGTGAGTTCTAGTCCTGACTTAGGCATGAAGCCACCTGGGTGACCTTGGGCCAATCCCCCTCTCTCAGCCCAAGAACCAGTTTGGTGTACAGGTGAAGGTGCTGGACTAGAAGCAGAGAACCTGTGTTCTGGTCCTGCCTTGGCCATCAAGTCAGCTGGGTGACTTTGGACCGGTCACTCTTTCTCAACCCTAGGAAGAAGCAATGACAAGCCTCTTTTGAAAAATGTGGCCATGAAAACTGCAGGGACTTGTCCAAGCGCTCACCAGGAGTCAAGATTGATTCAAAGGCACCAAAAAAAAAAAAAAAGTGTATATATTTTACATTCATTATTACTGAAACTCACTTGGTTAGTTTAAGCCCAGTTTTCCATCCCTTTCAATCCAGATTCTTTTTTTTTTTTAAAGGAACGAAAAACAAAACTGGAGTTTTATTTCTCTCTGCTGAAATTGTCCATTGCTGGTGCCAAATTGCTGAATGCCCAGGTTGAGGGACGAGGGATGGAATTTAATTAAATGTTGCATGGCCTTTGGGTTAAAGTGCACTGTTTTCTTATTGTGAAACAGTTTATGACTCACACGTTTGGTTGCTTTGCCCCTCACACTTGTAAAGTTAACACTGTGTCAGGATGGCAAAAGACTCCATTCTGGCTACACAATCTTTACAAATAAGCTTGGGTTCTGCTAATCATGGATTGTGTAAAAATAAAGGTTTGTTTTTGTTTTTTGTTTTTGCTCTCACCCATCCAACTTAACTTGAAACTCTTGTTTCTTCCAGTAGAGGGTAATAGTTACTCATCTTTCGTCATAGGGTAGCCAGCTTGGCTGGGCCACGAATTCTGGAATATTGGTGTCTGATATTTAAAGCTTTCAAGAATTTTGTCCAAAATAGTCATCATCTTTTTTTTTTTTTTTAATCTGCGCTCAGTCGTTACCGACTCTGCAGTGACTGCTGGACGAGTCCTTGCAGTTTTCAAGGCAAGTGTTTCGGAAGTGGTTTGCCAGAGCCTCCTTCCTAGAGCAGAGCCCAGCTGGCGAGCGCAGGAGGCGGGGTTTCCGTTGCTTCGCGCCCTTTTCGGGCGCGCATGGTTTTTTCGCGCTTACCGGCAACTGCTCCCGACTCCTTTTTGCGAGGCGCCGCCAGCATTTTTCCTCCCAC